GTGAAAAGTTTGTCTGATCCATCCAACTCTTTTTTTAAGCTTCTATTGCCAGGCAAAGACATTTTTATTCAGGTGGCTTTCCATTTATTTTTGATATTTCAGCCTCCTAATTATCTGCAGTATCAATACCTCTTTTGTTTTGCTTTGCTTTTAATTGCTTTAATTGCTCACAGTAAACTGTTTAAATGTGCAACCTTGATAAATGAAAAGATGCAATATAATTACAGCTAAATCTGCATCCAAAATAATCCTCTCCCAGCAGTCATGAGAGTACCGTGGGCAAGATTATTTAAAACACCAAAGCTTATCATACTTTTGCAATACAATACAAGTCTTCTCCATGCAATTTGTGCTCTGTCTATAGGCCGCTCAAACCCACAAAGAAATCACATTATTAAAGATACAGACAGTCCTCAAGTTATGACCATTCTTTCAGGGACTGTTTGAAGCTATGATGGTGCTGAACCAAGGGGCTTAGGACCAGTCCTCGAAGTTCTGGCTGTTGCAGTGCCCCCACGGTCATGTGAACAAAATTCGGGTGCCTGGCAACTAGCTCGCACTTACAACCAGTTACAGTGTCCCTCAGTCACGTGATCGCCATTTGCACCCTTCCTTGCCAGCTTCCCCCAAGCAAAGTCAATGGGAAGCTGGCAAGGAAGGTCGCAAGTCGCTGGGGTAAGTTCCCCCCCACAGCCTATCTTCGCTCGCGTGTACTGCGCCCTCCTTCCCCCCTTCACTCACACACACCCTGCACCTTCATTCCCGGGCCTTTCTGAGCTCGCGCCACACTGAGTATCCCTTCCCCCACTCATGCGTGGCCTCCGCCAGGCCTCCCAGGGCCTCCCCCACCTCCCATGGCACCCCTGCACTCCTTACCTGGGGCTACCTCTGTTTCCTGCTTAATGACCCATGTGTCTTGGGTTACGAAGACAACCGGGACTGCCTGGATTGCCGTCGCTAACCAATGTAGTCATGTGACATTGCACTTTACGATCACATCACTTAGCGATGGCAATCCCGGTCCCAGCTGCAGTCATAACTCGAGAACTACCTGTATTCTAAATAGGAAGGGGAGTTTTTCATAGTATTCCTTAACATTCTGGGAATATGGAGGATGGAAGCTTTAGGTAAGTAAAGAAAAAGAATGGGCTACCTGTTAATGTTGCAGCATCTAAAATTGCCCTTGGATTAAAACTGTGTGCATAGTGAAGAGCATCAGCCAACACCAGTCTTCCCTCTGCATCTGTGTTGTCAACCTTTTATGAAGGGATCAGAAAATCAGCAAGAGAAAATTACATTCTATTTGCAATAACTAATGAGTTAACAAGCTTGTCTATACCATCACTAGCTACGTTTTAGGGGCTATTAACAATACAGCTTCAAACTATAAAAAATAAAGAATACATTATAACCCTGCCAAACTCTAAACCTGAAATAAACAAAACTACTACCAACAAATATTTGATACAACAGAATCAAACGAACATGCAAAAGCTCAAAAGAGTGAAATGTTTGGGAAAAGATTTTTATTTGCCATTAAAAAGCCCTATTCCACCATTCACTCTCTCTAGCAGCTACCTTCTGCCCCACATTTTGTATTGGTATCAGGAGGAACCCCCTCTGAAAATATCTGAGTATCCAGGTAGACAAATATGGAAGGCTGTAATCCTTTAGGTAATCTGAGGGACTTTAATGGTTAATACCAATCATCTAGACAAATTTGTTCTGGAAATGAAGGCGCAGTCAGACTATTCCTAGCAGAATATGATTGTTAGGGCTGTGTAAACGATTTGAAATAGCTGCTTCCTTACACATCAGACTGTGTATGAAGCGCCTCTAAAGCAACGGCACCTTTCGCAAGGCTTGTACACTGCTTTAGAAAGTGGCCATACAGCTTGCATCCATGCACAGCCACTCTGCCTTCCTAGGTAGAAAGCAATGCAAAATGTCTATGCAGGTGGATACATGCCGGGAAAAAGATGCAGCTGCTTTCACATTTCAAACAGAGATCATTTGCATACGCTTTTGGGAGTGCACAACACCTCTTTCAAATGCTCTATAAAACTGCTCTCCAATTCTGAAATTCCCAGAATGCCTTTGAAGACTGCTGTCATGTAACACACTGCAAATGGAAGGATGCGGACTATTATCTGCAGGCGGTATTTCCAGAATATGGAAGCTAGCAGAGAGAAAGCTAGCAGCATTGAATTTCCATAGCGTTCAAATGCATGGAGAGATGTTGCATATATTCTGTTAATGACAGACCTCCAAAGTCGGTCCATCATTCCTACGCTGCGGATTGGGGAGGCACATAATGTAAGAGAGGAGTATTTTCCCTAATGTCCCATGCAGCGGAATTAGGTAGCTGACTAGATAGAGGGTGTCATTTCAGGTATGTGTGTATTCTGCCACTGAGAATCTAGGTGCTGCTTCTTTTCTAGTTTTATATGCAGAAAGTTATATTAGGAACATTCAAAGCCATTATTCCCACAATCAGCCTGCATCACCATGCCTCTCCGCCATTGTTGTTCTGATGCATTTCTGGATCAAGCCAGAATTCCTTGTAGGAAAATTTAAAATGGGGTTTCCTATCCCACCCTTCTCAGCTGTTACACTATCCCCAAAGCAACCACTTCAGCAAGCAGACGTCTCTACAACTGGACTGTGGGTTACAGGTCCAAAGACCTACACCCTCTCCCCCAGCCACTTGGACTAGCAACGATGTTCCAGGTGTTAATCCTTGGAAAAGTCTCCTCCTGCACTTGGGGACCAACAGCTCCTTTTGAGTGAAGGGACAAGCTTATTGCTACCTTATTGGCAGCATCCCCCAAATGCTTGTATCTGACAGGCTCAAGTTTCCTGTTTGGAAATAGTATTTTACTTAAAATGATGCAGAATGAAGGTGCTCCATGCTTTTGAAAGTGTGTGTTAACTCAATGTTGGCCAATAGGATGAACGAAGACAACAACAGAGAATAGATGTTACTGTTCTGTTAAATATGTGATCACCACCATTCCCTCAAATCTGATGACATCTAACAAGGATTAGAAATATTAGCAAACTTGGCCCCCACGCCCCCACGCCCATGGGGCTCTTGCAAGCAACTGTTGATTCAAAGTTCTACTTGTTAAGCTAGAAATGACTTTGCTAGATTAAACCTCAGGTGCTGCACACGTCCACTGT